TGGCGTTCGCGTGTCCCGAAGGAGCTGCTTGGACAGAGCAGCATTATTTTCCGAATCTAATTCCGTATCCACCACGTAATAGTACGTGTTGGAGTTGGTCCAAGTCAGCCTACACGTTTGATTGATCCCCTCGAATGCGAGTTCGTGTGTATTCCTTTCGTTAACCGGGATCACGTGACACGCGCAGCGACCCCCTATCCGTTACGTCAGATTTGCGCAAGAGGGCGCTAGATAGAGCTAGAAAAATTCGTTCGACGAATTAAAAATGGTCAAATATCCCCAACAAAAATCTTTATTTATTCAAACAAACAGATAACGATTTGTCACGTATTTGTAATAGAAATAGCGTTAATAAATTTCCCTGTTATTTTTATAAAAAGAATAAGTGTTAAAAGCTTTCGAGTGGCCCTGATTCGATGGTTCGGGACTGTAATAAACAGATGTTAACAGGATTCCAAGCGACTGGTAATGGCAAAAAAAAAAAGGAAAGAGTTGCCAGCTACCGATCTCTAGATACTGTTAATCGATACCGGTGTACTGTTAAGCAAAGTAGGTGGAAGAAGAATATCGATATGATTCGTTCGTTTCCTTGGAACGAGGCAACGAGGAACCAGAGGTGTACCGGTCGATGGCCCCGGAGTCGTTCAACCCGCGATGATCGACCATAATCGTCCTTGAATCGTGCGTTTCATGAACGAGATAGGTCAAAGATCGGTATGTCGTCGAACACGCCGCCGGAGCGTGTTATTTCACCTGCCAGACGTTCGCTCGAAAATAAACAAATTTCTATTTACGGGGTATATTAAAAATTTGTCCGGCTATTAGGCTTTCGTCGAATAACAAAGTATTCTATTTTATTTATTTAGAGACCTACATTTTCAGTTAGGATACGAATCACCGATCTTTCCATCCCACGCTCAGAAAATTGAGCTACAAGGTCGTGTTATTTCTCATTGCACTAATAAAACGGAGCTGTGTAAAGCAAAAGTCGTAATTTGTTGCGTAAGAAGCAGTTTGGTGGCCGGGAAAGGACAAGAAGCTCCACGGGAGCTTCGATTGCGCGACGATGACCTTGCTGTTGCATAGGTTGATGTAACCTACGTGTCACATGGCAAGTTAATCTTGCGTGACTGGCGAGTCCAAATTACATACCGCGATCGTACACGGTGTTCGAATACGGTGGAGATTCGAAATGAAAACCGGGGAATGGAATATTGCTGATACGATAAGACACGAACAAAACGAACAGTGAAAGAATTTCGAGACTTTCGATAATGCAGTTTGATGCAGGAAAATAAATTTCTCGAAACGCCAGCATGAAACGAGAGAACAATATTGCCGATTGAGTAGTCGTTTCTGAAGACCCTGAAGTGGGATCTCGAAAACGCGGCGATGATGAATGCCCCGCAGCCTCTTCCGTTTCCGTTTAAGTGCCATTTAAGCGTTTCAACGAATTCACAAGCACCGATATAGCGGACCGGTCGAATCCCCACCGGCCTGAGAGCTTCTGCAGAATGTTATTTCATCTCGAAATAGACCGAAAGTCTCGCCGATGAACTGTCTCTGCGTGTAGAACCAAACTCGATACGCCCTCTTTAATCCAAACCGCAGAAGAAACTCTTCGATCCGACGTCCACTCGAGGCCATCGTTCCGTCTTTCGAGTCCTGCTGGCGGATTGGCATTTCGTAAAAGCATTCTCAACGCTTCGAGCCTCGTATTTCGTATCTCAAATGCCCCAAGATGTTTGTTCACTTTAACTATTTCGCGTGGAGGGAACGAGGGATAAGGTTAAATCAAATATTCTGTCGGATGAATAAATCTAACCTTAAAGCAATACAGTGGCGATTCTTAAAACGAACCCCAGACGTAATTCCTTGTAATTGGGGGGCCCCCCCCCTTGGAGCCAGTGAAGCATGAAAGACGATACGCGCTGGGGTGACGATGACGGCGACGATTTGTATAAGAGACAATGCTTTTTTTCTCATTCTCGCTCGCTGTCCTTTTCCTCGGTTGTCTTCTACGAACGGCGATGAAAAAAAAAAACGAGGCAACTCCGAGGCTCAAGGATATCGCTGTCTATAAATAGCTGCCGGTGTCAAATTTCGTCTCGGCTGAAAGATGAACAGGTCAACCCCGGGAATCATTACTGTACCAGTAACGGGAACACAGCTAGCATAGGAAACCAATAATTAATAACGATGCAAGAAAATATCAGACCGGCATTTAGAAGCGTACCGTCTTGACCGGTCTGTACAGTAGCAGCGTGTCGAAAGGGTTAAAACTTAAAACGTTGCAACGAAACGTCTCGTTATCCGGTTCCGTGACCCCCGACAGTCCGTCCACGTCGACCAGGCACAAAGTGCACGTCGGTTGGAACGCGGGGAAGCAGGCACGGAGAGGTTCATCGTCTCCGGGTGTTTCCGTATAGAAGAAAACACGGGCCGAGCGAGAAGGAAGAAGAAGACCCGGTCGACGCCCCCGGGAGTCGTTCAACCCGTTGCCGGCGGTCGTCGACGATCGGCCTTGAATCACCCGTGCCCGTTTACGGGAGCGGTGCGCGCACGGGTTCAAGCATCAGACCAAGTCGAGACTTCCGGTAGGATCCTGGACACGGTGCTCGAGCACCAGTCCACCTAGAGGTAAACGATCCCGCCCAGGGAATCTATCGCGCGATACTACCTGGCGTAAATGTTCCCAGAGACACGATCAGAGTGTGCCTCGTCCCTTCGTGAGATCTTAATTTCATCGCGCGCGATGGCGCCTCGACTTTGTCCGCGGCCCGTTCGAATGGAACACGCGCCCCGAGATAACGACGTGGAAATGAATGGCAACGAGTGATAATGGCCATTAGCGTGGCTCGCGTGGAGCGGCCCAGGTAACGATAACGTCGACGATCGAAACGCTGAATGGACACTGATCCACGGGGACTGAACTTGTGCACGAAGAATTTACTAACTTTTAACGTTTTGGCTGTCGAACGCTCGTCAAATTTTTTACGAAATCAAATAATTTGTTTTTTCGATTGGTATTTTTTGTAACCTTATTCTCACTGTTCGCTACTTTAAAGAAGGATAATAATATTTCTCCTCGAATTAACATTCTTTAAAAACAATGTTGCCTTTCGCATAGAAGATTTTTAGAACGCATAGTGTCTGGGTGCAAACGAGAAGCTCAAAGACCCCCACGGATCGACCTAACAGTTATTATTCATGTACCGTCGGTACCGACGGAGACTACCTGGAACCGCAGTCTTTCTGTTTCACCGATCACAGAGTTCTAATCATAGTTATCAGAACTCGACATACTGAGCCTATTAAATGCTGTATAATAACAAAGCTGCAAGGGTGTGCGTATAGGGGTTGAAATTACACTTGCAACTGACCTACGATAATTACCACCTTTCCAAGATTCAATAACAAACAGAACCTGGTCGAATTGTGGCGTGTGACACCGTAATATTCTGACGAGTAAAACGATTCATGATTAATTCAACCCGTCAACGTCTGAAGTTCGAGAAATACACACGGGACAAAAGAAACGATCTAGAATGTAAATTATTCCCATCGACTCTCGCCGATCAAAAGTTCACAAGCTGCTGGTTAAACAATTTTTTAAATAATATTCTTTTAAATGTCAACTTTCTCCCACCTGTCCCACGAGTTGTCACAGGCTACGCGGTCCAGCCTGCGACAACCCGAAAGGGAGGTAGTCGATGTGGCGGTAAAATTTTCGAGGGAAAACGAGCTACGACCATGGTCTTTCATCGTGTCCCACGATTGCCGCGAGTTACGACAGGATCCCGGCGGCGACGGTGCGCGCGATCGCTGGCACCGAGCTCCGCGCTGCTGACGAAGCGAAATCGGCGTGCATTACGAAAGTTAACTGGAGCACGAATCGACTTTCGATTCGGTGGTAAGAGGCCCCCGGGAGCGTGCGCGCGCTGCCCTGAAAACCGAGAGTGCTCTCTTTGAGAGAAGATCGCGCGCGGCCCGGGTTTCTCTTAATATCCCGACCTAACAAGCAGATCGTAATCTTTCCCGCGAATTGCGCCTCCTGCGTTGCGTAAACAACGCGGCCAAGGATCTTTTTCAGGCGGCTTGGCCATCCTGAGCCGATCAGACGTCGGATGAGCCTGCAGAGACTCTCCCAGGGACGGACAATTATTGGTACACAAACGATTTTTTTTTTTTTGCAAGATATAATCTAGGGAATATACATAGTGGATGATGAAACTTCTGATACCTAAAGTCGCGACTAGTTGTAATTGCATAATAAATAATTATCTCGTGATCCGCTCGAAGGGTCCATTTTGTCCGTTTAATAGGCGTTAAAACTGGCAGAGAGACGTCGAGAGACGGATGGGGGGTAAGGGCGACCGGGATAGTTGACGAAAGGCTGAAGGGAGGTGGCGAATTTTCCTGGGAAAGTCGCCCAAACATTTCTACGGCCAAGTCGGAGAATCCGTGAGGGACGAGAGGGGCGAGATATCTAGTTGCAGGTCATTCGCATCGCGAGGGGACGAGCAGTAAAAATAGAACGAGAGCGCCAGGAGCGCGTGCTCTCACGCGCCGCGACGAGGATGATATCAACGAAGACGACGACGACGAAATCGACGACGAGCACGAGGACCGACGTTTTCGTTTGTGTAACTTCGTAGGGGCCAGTGACACGCGTCGGGCTCGTAACACTCGTCTCTCGCGCTTCCGCGAAATTATTTTCGAAACTGGCGCTGTTTCCCGCCAAAAACTTGCGTCGTCCATGTCCGCGATCTTAGAAAAAAAAGACCAACTTCCCGGAGATCCTTGCAGCGAAAACAAAACACTGATCAACGAATTTTCGAATTACCATATTTCTAATTTTGGATTTAAATTTGGATTTTTATTATTACCGGAGGAAACGATTAATTTCGTTTTTGTTTGCTTCTCAGTCGTTAAACCGCCGATTAGGTTATGCGGAAACCGATTCGGAGCTGGTTCAGAGGACAATAGGCGTTACGTACCTGCGTGTAACACCAGTTCTCGGCAACGGGGGTGTTCACTTCCGGTGGTGGAGGGCTCGGTACGCGGCTTACTGCCATACTACTGCTGCTGTGCAAGTTCGAGCTGACCCGCGACGTTTGAGGCGCACAGTCGCTCACCGCAAGTCTGGAACATTCGAAACATAAAAAAAAGTTAGAGGTTATGTCACCCACTAAAACAACTGGCGCAACGTTTGAATTCGATCCGTTGCAAATTATATTTCACTCGACGTCCAGATAAAAATTCCTTTGATTCTTTGTAAACGAAGGTCATCCACGGTTGATCGACCCACACGTGAACAAGCGTCTAACGCTCAGAGGGAACGGAAGAGAGGGGTAACAGGGAGGCACGACTCGCTCGATGCGAAGAAAAGGGTGGACGAAGGAGGGATGAGAACGGAGAAAGACGGACATGCGAGTGAACGAAGAGAGGGGAGGGGGGCAAGCGGAGAGGGGAAGAGGAAGAAAGAAAAGAAGCATGAAAGAAGAAGGGTATGCAGGGCACGCGATGGTGCTCACGTGCGCCAAGTACGGAACTACTCGAGCATCATCGAGTCGAGTACATTAGCCCCGCAGGTTCATCGGACCTGCATGCCTCGCTTCTGGGCTGTTAAGGAAAACCGTGACTGCTGTCGCTTCTTGTCCTAATCCTTTAACCCTTATCGGCGGAGTCAATCGATACACGTTAACGCGATAAACCTTGGAGGGGGATGGTTTGACCGAGTCGGTTAGTCTTTCGATTCTTGGACGTCCGGAGAGACCCTCGAACACTTAATCGACCGTTGATTAGCCTGCTGAACTGGCCGCTAGTGGGTCTCCTATGACAAAGGGTGCATGCACTTTTCATATCTATCTCTCGTTCTCTTGTTAAGCCTTTCTACTCGATAACTATGTCAACGTTTCGTTTCGTCGTCTTTATAATTAAATGCAGAATTATTTAGGATTGTGTACTTTGTGTTCTTACGTTTAATGTCAAACGTAGTACTACGTGATGTAATATGTTGTTCAACGTAATACTACGTGAGGTATAAATTGTTCAACGTAGTACTACGTGAGGTAATATGTTGTTCAACGTAGTACTACGTAAGGTAATATGTTGTTCAACGTAGTACTACGTGAAGTATATATTGTTCGACGTAGTACATACTACGTGAAGTATATATTGCTCGACGTAGTACTACGTGAGGTATGTGTTGTTCAACGTAGTACTACGTGGAGTATATATTGTTCAACGTAGTACTACGTGGAGTATATATTGTTCAACGTAGTACTACGTAAGGTAATATGTTGTTCAACGTAGTACTACGTAAGGTAATGTGTTGTTCAACGTATTACTACGTAAGGTAATATGTTCCTCAACGTAGTACTACGTGAAGTATATATTGCTCGACGTAGTACTACGTGAAGTATATATTGTTCAACGTAGTACTACGTGAATGCCTTTCTACTTGATAACTATATCAACATTTTGTTTCATCTCTATAATTAAATGCAGAATTATTTGAGGTTATGTTTTTTGTGTTGGAATGGGGCATTTATTATACACGAATATTTATATACTACAATTTAATGGTAAGAGCAAACAGTTGTTGAATACTTTGGTTTTTTTATACCTGAGCGAACGAAATATAATAAATAAAAAATTGGATCTCTTTTCACACAATGAACTCGGTTCCCGTACCCTTCGAAACGTGACGATCGTGCGCCGTTGACAAAGGTGTTTGTGAGTGCTTATGACACCGGATGTGTTAATACCAGTGTTTATCCCCTTCCAAAGGATAACACTTCCGTTTACGCATGCCCTCTAAGACAACGAGGTATAGAGGTGAACTACATACGGTTAAATTGCGGTTCGAGCGACCAAACGGAAAAAATATATTTCGCGCGCGTACACGGTTAACCGCGATACTTGAATATACGTCCGTTTCGATAAGGAATTCGAGGAAGCTTAATTCTAGTTTTAATTACAAATAATTCTCTTCGACATGTTCTTTTAATTAAAATATTTTCGGGTTCTCTTCGGTATGTGTGATAATATGGGATCTTGGTATAATACAGAATTCACATTAATAGAGAAATTATAAAAATTATAGATAGTTTGAATGGTGCAGGATATTTGTAATTATTTAAATCTTTGGTCGTAGGTATATTTACCACTTCGATTTACGATAAGATAGAGATCTCCATTTCCGCGAGATAAATCGAGCCTCCCCTTTCACTTCCCATTGCACAGCAAGAGTAGACGACCAGATAAGAGAAATCACGATATTATGTTGCTTTTGCCGGGCAAACGCGTCGAAATGAAAGAAAAATGGGGAAAAAATTTTTATCCAGCCCGGTGAAAGACAATCCGAGAAAGTAAATACATTTTCCCCCGGAGTGGTGCACTGATAGACAAATGAGGAAACTTTCGCGGCAGCGAATTGCTTTTACCCGTCTCGCCTTTTCGTTCGCTCGCAAATTTAACGCGTTATAGAGCCAGTTTTCGAAGAAACTTTCTAACAATCTACCGCTCGACACACGAATTTATATCAGCGAACCGCCTATTTGTCATCCAACCTAAAAACCAAACCGATCCCACGAACGCCTGACACCAGCGACTTTAAAGGGCAACGTGTACGCGTCACTTTCTCCTAAATCCAGACCACCCGTAAAATTGCACGAATAACCCTACCCGAACGCGATACACATTCATTAAATCTCTTGTACGTCAGCGTATTAACGGGCGCCATTTACGCAAGCTCCCACCTCCTCTCTCCCAGTTCACGTCGAGTGCTCTAACTTTCACTTACACGTTACTCCCACGTCGTCTCTGCGCTAGATACAGTCGGAACACCGTCGAGCATACGGGAGAAGAGTCGCTATACGGGACGCTAGCGAGTCCCCAGCGACATTTTGCCAAGAGAAAGATAAACGGTTCTATCGTGATTCCACGTTCGAGTCGAGGTGAATGTAACGCGAGCAGTTTTGTGGGAAACGAAAGACCCAGGGATCTCAGCGGTGCACGCGAGCTGCTTTTACCGTGCATGCGCGGCACGAGCACACTATTTACCCAACCACTAACCTAAAAGCGACTGTCGAGTCGACTTAAAAATGATCAATCCTTCGGGAATTGTTCTTTTCAAAACATTGAAAATTAAAATAACAATTCTAGACTGCATAGATTCTAGATTAAGAGAAATATGGTACGGACAATATGGTTTCGAGGCAAACAAGACGAGTGAAATTTTATGACAGGTCTTACTTTTCACACTTACGCTTATTCTTCTTTCAAGGTTGAGTGTACGTCAACAAATTATTAGGATATGTTTAATCGCCTCGAAGATATTAATAACGGATATATTTTTGGGGTTAGGTTCACGAAAGCAGCGTTTCCATTTGGAAATCTCGACAGCTGATAAATGTCATTGTAACGATAAATTATATGGTATTACCGGAGAGTAGTTAAAGTGTTTTTTATTTAATCTTTCGATCTTACCTGTTACCCTCCAGCAATACCGAAGAGCAGAACGTAATTACTTAGTTACGACACAACTTATATAAATATCATACAGACACATTTTTGAGGTTAGATTTAAAAGCAGCCTTTGGCTATTCCACGTCTATGCACATTTATGTAATTACATCGCCCCGGCAGGTATACTTTCTTCTAATTTACGTAATAAAATCGCGATGATCATTTTTCCAGCGTTTAAATGCTGCGCCAATAAAATCTGTATTCCGAGTAAAAAATATCCTGCTTATTTCTCCTAACCTAATAATAATAATAATAATAAACGAACGATGTTAAATTTTCACCGATAAATATTAAATGAAATTGTATATTCAAGCAGTTTTTAGTTCAATGTTATTCCCATTAAAATGTAATTCAGCCGTGAAACAGTGCAGCAATTAAATGGAATTTACATGGCAGCGTTTCCTTGGAAGTAGGTTTGTAATACATGGTTGGTCGTTTTAACGGGGCCAGTTAGCAGCGAGTTCAACCTCGAAACAGTGATTTTGTCAATCGGGGCATCTGGATTTCGAATCTGTTGAATGGCGGAGGCGTGGGCCAGGCCGGAGAGCCCAAGGGGAAAGTAGAACAGAGAGCTCCGACGAGCTCACCGGTGAAAACGAGGAAGTTAGGTGAAAACCGACTGTACTAAGTCGAAACAACGCAATTACAGCGAGTACACCGTGTTCGTGGAAACATACTCGTTCGAACGAATTTCCATGAAACGCTGGACGCGTACTAATCTTCCCTAACCACAAAAAATTTTTAGGTTATGTAGAACAAGCTATAACTTTTAGGTTACGTAGAACGCGTCATATTTGTCACAAACCCCGTGAAATTTTCTGAAATTAATTTTTTTGAAAGAAAGTCTAAAATTTTTGGATCTTTGAATTTTTGAAAGGACACGAATTTTTCTGAAATGCTGATCTTCCCTAACCACAATCATTTTTAGGTTATGTAGAACACGCTGTAAGTTGCCCCTTAAAATTGATTCGATACTACAAATGAACGCGTCACATTTGTCACAAACCCCATGAAATGTTCTGAAATTAATTTTTTTGAAAGAAAGTCCAAAATTTTTAGATTTTTGAATTTTTGAATTTTTGAATTTTTGAATTTTTGAAAGGACACGAATTTTCCTGAATCGCTGGACGCGTATTAATCTTCCCTAACCATAGTAATTTTTAGGTTATGTAGACCACGCTATAAGTTGCCCCTTAAAAGTGAAATTCTCTGAAAATAATTCTTTCAAAGGAAAGTCTAAAGTTTTCAGAACATTGAATTTTCGAAAGGGCACGATCTATGTAAACTCGCTTTTCCCCCGTTAAATGAATAAATAAATTTTGTTCAACAGCGCGGGAAACATTGTTTGAATATTCAACGCTCATTTCTTGCGTCAGTTTTCTACCGACCTTCGTTTAAAATTCATATTTTAAATTCGTATGCTCGTTAGCGGTGACAGGTGCCAGATCCTTTCGTTCGGAATTCGAGAAACGAAATTCACTTTTTAACTAAAATTGTGTCGCGAGTACATTCCGATTATTATTCTTTCTACAACATTTTAGAACGTATCGCTGTTTCGATTCCCGCGCTTAATTACTTTCGAAACGTTATTTTTTGATAGAAATAAAAAC